CATCTCCTCCTCTGGAGTCAGAAGCATCTGAGGTCGCTTTGGGCCATTCACATTCCTGCCGTGATCAATCGTGCAGCCAACGAGCTCTCACGACAGCCTGCGCTTCCGGGAGAGTGGCGGCTCCATCCCCAGGTGGTCCAGCTGATTTGGGACCTCTTCGGAGCCGCACAGGTAGACCTGTTTGCCTCTCCGGACTCGACCCATTGCCAGCTGTTTTATTCCCTGAACAAGGGCACCCTCGGCACGGATGCGCTGGTGCACAGCTGGCCCCAGGGCCTTCGCAAATATGCACTAGATTCTATAGCCTTTGTGTAGAGCCGGTATCTTCCCGTGTACTCGCCCCCAGTGGCCAGTAGCGCGAAGGACCCGTTCTAGTGTCAGCTTGCAAAGCCACTCCCGCCCGAGTATTTTATGTATTTTGAAAATACAAAAATACTAATCTTAAATGTATTTAAATACAAATTACATCTGATTTTTGCCGAAGGCTTTCAAATACAAAATACAAAATAGTATTTTGTATTTCAAATACGTATTTTAAATACATGTATCTGAAATACTGCCCATCCCTGGTCAGACCCTTCATTTCTACGGGCGGGGGTCCCCCTAGAACAAGTGTCCAGGCATGCTGTGGTGTTCACGGATGCCTCGGCCACGGGCTGGGGGGCCACGTACAATGGGCATGCAGTGTCGGGTCTGTGGACGGGGCCTCAACTGCATTGGCACATCAACTGCCTCAAGTTGTTAGCAGTACGTCTTGCGCTGGTACTCAAAGGGTTGCTACATGGCAAGCACCTGCTGGTCTGTATGGACAATACTGCAACCGTTGCGTACATCAACCGCCAGGGTGGTCTACAATCCCGCCACATGTCGCAACTCGCCCGTCATCTCCTCCTCTGGAGTCAGAAGCATCTGAGGTCGCTTTGGGCCATTCACATCCCTGGCATGCTCAATCGTGCAGCCAACGAGCTCTCACGACAGCCTGCGCTTCCGGGAGAGTGGCGGCTCCATCCCCAGGTGGTCCAGCTGATTTGGGACCTCTTCGGAGCCGCACAGGTAGACCTGTTTGCCTTTCCGGACTCGACCCATTGCCAGCTGTTTTATTCCCTGACCGAGGGCACCCTCGGCACGGATGCGCTGGTGCACAGCTGGCCCCAGGGCCTTCGCAAATATGCACTAGATTCTATAGCCTTTGTGTAGAGCCGGTATCTTCCCGTGTACTCGCCCCCAGTGGCCAGTAGCGCGAAGGACCCGTTCTAGTGTCGACTTGCAACGCCACTCCCACCCGCTGGGCCGGATACGTGCGTCTAGTGCTCCAGTAGAGTTCCCCAGAAATGGCTAACCCTGTGAGTTCCTCCGTCACCCCCCGGCAGTCAGACGTGGCGGAGCGTCTGACACCAGGCCTACACTCGTATGCGTTGTGGAACCTGTGTTAGGCTGGGTGTCCATATGTGGTGGTCCCTGCAGCGATCCCATATGTGTATTCTTCCAAGGTAAGGCTACCCAGGCCGGCTAGCCCGTGTCTTTACGCACCGGCTGCTCATTAAATACTTGCTCTGCAGCGCAGAGCAGCTGTGGCAATGATCGCATGCCAATGTGCATTGGCTCGTTTTTCTTACACTCAAAGTAGATTGGTCTCCCAAAGCGATCCCCAATTCGGTTACATACATAACTGAGACGTTTTGATTTATATGCTGTTTAATGTTTGATGATCATGTTAGATTACATGTGAAAGCAATACTTCTGTTTTGTTTCTGCTTCTTTGTCTGTGTTTTTGATCCGGAGATTCTGTACTCTTTCAGAAGATGCATAAAAGATGTGTAATGTAGCATATAACTGTCAAAACATGGATTGTTGGAGAACAAGCATATGCCAAATATACTTTGACTTTTTCTGTCACTATAACTGCCAACAAGTTAATGTCATTTTAAGTATATTTCTGAGAAGTACATAAAAAGTAGACTGAAAGTACACTTTGTTTTTGTTTTTTTAGTTTAAAAGAAGTATAATAATAGCACACTTGAATAAACTTTTTTTTTTTTTTTCGTAAGGGTGGTGATCTATATCTTTTGGGAGAGAAAGGCATAATGTTACATAGAGCACGTAGTAAATCTACATGAATGATGTGTAAAGCAGAATGACAAATGAACAATAACATTAAACAGAAAAAACAAGAGCGCACCACACTTCCAGTTACACATTATCACAAGACAAGGAACTGAGGCAATCTAAAGACTTAAAAACACACAGGGACTAATCAACAACATGAACCAGGTGCATAACTTAAATTAGAATCCATGGCAACTTACAATGAATGAGAAGTCAGGCAAACAGGGAAAACCAAATTAAGCACAATAAAAAACTAAACATAAGCCTTACATTACAGCCCCCTTGTCAGTGCTGGTAGCCTCGTGGGCAAGTGTGCTGACATATAGTGCCATTGTGCTTTGGGCGTCCTGAGTTCGAGTTCGGGCAGGCAGACCGTTCCCGATCCTATCCCCTATCTCTCTTTCTCTCTCAATTCGCTTCCTGTACACTCTATACTGTCTAATCATAATAAAGGCGAATATGGCAAAAATAAATCTTAAAATTCTTAAATCTTAAATAGTACAAGTTATAATGTTTAATCAGTGAGAATGATTATTCTACCAAAATTACAATTTTTTTTCCAGATACTTCCAATAGAATCAAATCATATCACACATTTATGTAACGATGGGGGATTCAAAGGGCAAAAGGTTGTGAACTACATCATAATTCTTCAGACATTACCATGTGGACAAGCACCTTCATGGTACTTGTTTAAATGCATAATATCTCATAAATGGTAAAAATATGTACAATTGTTAAAATAACGTTTTCTATAAGACAAATATGTAAGCAATTTCAGCTTTTGCTCCTAGGAGTCTCTGTTGACTTTACAACATTTAGAAACAAAAATAAATACTAGTTATTGTAACTGCAGAAAATAACTTTAATATACTGCACTGTTTGGTTGATTTCAGAATGCCAAACAATATCATGTGGGCTGTTGTTGTCTGTCTGTAGGTTATCTGGCTGTATGGTGACAGAGGAAGGCTGTGGTTATTTGTCTTCAGCTCTTAGTTCAAACCCCTCACACCTGAGAGAGCTGGATCTGAGCTACAATCACCCAGGAGATTCAGGAGTCAAGCTGCTCTCTGATACACTGAACAATCCAAACTGCACACTGGACAAATTCAAGTATGTTAAGCAGGATTTTTTTTCTATTTTATTATTAAAATTACTCCTGTATACCTGTGTCAGATTGAAAGGCATGTAAAATATAAAAAATGTAATACATTTATTAATATTATTAGTGAATTAGACAAATGTTTAGCTGTAAAGGTTGGAATATGTATAAACAAGCATACAAACATAAGCTTGTATAAACAAGCCAATGTTTATGCTTTAGTACTTCCAGCTGCTCATTCAAAAGGGTGATAGAGATAAAATATATACTTATACAACCATCTTTAACATATCACAATATAGGCATCATGAGGTAAACATTCATTGTCATAATACATTAACAGTGGATTATTAGAAATTGCTGGCCACAAATGTGCAGTATTTATTGATTTACTCTGAAACTGTGAGCCTGCAGAATGTGCAGAATGTGCAAAAGTGCAGTGCTTTACTTTGAAACATGTCCACTTCAAGAACTAATAGTATTATTAAATAAAAATAGGTTGTAGTCTACAACCGGTCTACAATAATACAAATAGAAAAAACATTTATTATAGATGTACTGTACTGTAGTGATTCAGCATAAGACAAAACTACGGTTTGGAAAATTGATTCATGATGTATTTGCTCATTATATACATTTTGTAAATTTCTCTTTCCTTCAGTGATTCTGCTTGTTAACAGGTGTTCATCACTAATGCTCAATCCTCACTTAATTATCTCATTAATGTCATCACCGCTTCAGTGTCACTTCAACACTCTGTAGTGTGGAGACATATAAGTGCTGTGAGGATGTTGCTGTGGGATTAAAGGGGTTAAATGTGTGAGATGAAGGAAAACACACTGTGACATATATTTTTAACAGAAATATACTGTTAATTTAATTTACGGAAGCAAACTGTAAAAAACTGTAGATTACTGGCAACCACAGCTGCCGGTATTTCACCGTAAAATCAAGAAAAGAAAACAGCAAAATACTGTAAAACCTAACAGTCAACTTCCTGTTGTGTTTTGTGGGTCAGCATTGTGCTGGAGAGCAGAGCCTGTGTTTAAGTCAAGGACGGACAGAGAAACACTGATGTTATGCTGCTTGTTGTTTTATTTAAAGGCAGTAACTGTGTAGTTACTGATGCAGTGTGAATCTCTTCAATAATTTCAATCGCACATGAATGTGTGCTGCTGTTATCTGCAAGAGATTTAAGTTGAATTGATGCTTTTAATGACTTTGCATAAATCAGTAGGTTTTTCTTCATGGACTTAAGCAAATTAGTTCTTAATACCAATATGCTTGCATTACTTAAACATTATAAATATTAGTTTATAAACAAATGCCAATTGGCCAAATTAAGTGCACTCGGGTTTCTGCAAATAAAATGAGTTAACTCAAAGGTTTGCATATTAACATTGTATCAGTTAATGAAATACAGTTTTTCACTGTAAATTTAAACAGTTCTGTAAAACCTAAAATGTTGCTACCGTATTTTTCACTGTAAAGTTCTGGCAACCATAGCTGCCGGTATTTTACCGTAAATTTACCGGTTTTTTTTTTTACAGTGTAGGATGATACCCACAAGAAAAACAGTTCATACGGCAAACTCCCAGTCCGTATCACGTATCATATCACGTTTAGAAAGAGTTGTGTAATGTTCATACCTTGAGTCCTCGGTTACGTTTAGAAATGTCAGCTGAAATTACATCATCGATGCGTAAATCACTAAACACGATTAGAAATGTCCGTTGAGCACGAGTAGAAGTCATAACTTGCGTTATATCCAGTTCAAAATAAAGAAACCCACCCCTAAATACAAACAAATGAAATACAATTAACAAACATTACAATTTTATAATAATAAACAACAAGACATGGCTTATCTTGAAATCTCCATTTTAAATCTGGTTAGTTGCTCTCCAAACACTCCTCAGTGGGAGAATCAAACACACCAAACACCACTTCAGCGGAAGATTCCATCACTCCAAACAAGAGACTGAAACGGGACACTCGAACACTCATAGCACGGTTTCACAGGGAGAACTCAATATGAATCGGAGGACATAAGATTAAGGCATGTGAAACGCAGTTATAACTCATAACAACTGGACATTACTCTTTCCACTTCAGCCCTGATGTCACAATCCCCGTCAAGAATACCAACTCACTATTTAAAGGGTTAGTTCACCCAAATATAAAAATTACCCCATGATTTACTCACCCTCAAGCCATACTAGGTGTATATGACTTTCTTATTTCAGACGAATACAATCTGAGTTATATTAAATAATGTTCAGACTAATCCATGCTTTATAATGGGAGTGGATGGTAGCCCAAAATTTGAAGTCCAAACAATTGCACCCATCCATTATAAAAGAAGTCCACATGGCTCCGGGGGGTTAATAAAGGCCTTCTGAAGCGACGCGATGTGTTTGTGTAAGAAAAATATCCATATTTACAACTTAATAAATCTTAATCCATAGCTTCTGCTAACTGTCATATGGAGAGAGCAAACAAAACAAAACACTGGTCACGAATTAGTAGTACAGAATGAGGATTTGTAAAGAAAAATGTTGGAGGATTTCAGTATAAGCCAAGAGGACACTGGTTTTCCTTTGCTGTAAACAAAACTTGTTTCTCGCGAGACTAGCATATTCTCACTAGAGTTTATGCTACGCCTACGTTCTAAGTTATCCGTACGACAGTTTAGTCAAGACCAGACCCTCCAAGCACCCAAACCAAGACCATTTAAGAGAGGAATTAATTAGATATTTCAGTCTTTAATTAATGATTGAGCATTAGCAAACACTTAGAAAACACTTCTTGTTAACAAGAAGAATCACTGATGGAAATAGGAACAAGAACAACAAACGTATAGCATCCCTGGCAGCAACATAGTGTAGGTCCACATCGGGCTCACATCGGGCCCGTGTGGAATCCACATGTACCAGATCTGGGCCAACACTATGTTGCTGTCAGGGATGCTATAAGATATATGTCTATATCAGATGTGAATGGCGCAACCTGACAAAAACAAACTATTATAATCATGTTGAGATTTGACAATTTCCGGACAGTGAACTGTTGCCCCGTTCAATCTCTGAAATACTCCAAGCACTCACACTACTTCTGAACATGAAGAGCTAATGGATTTGCAGCACTCGCTCTGTTGCATTCAGTGTAAGACACAGTGTTAAAAAGGATGTGTATTACATTTCAAATAAATGCTGTTCTTTTGAACTTTATTTTCATCATGGAATCCAAGAAAATAGTACACAACTACCAAATACTGTTCTTTTTAGCAGCATCATATGACCCCTTTAACATTAAGTAAAATATTTCTTAAGCAGCAAATCATCATGATTCTTGAAGGATCATGTGACACTGAAGACTAGAGTAATGATGGTGAAAATTCACATTTTTCATCACAGGAATAAATTACATTTTAAAATATGTTCAAACAGTTCAGCAGTTGTTTTAAATTGTAATAATATTTCACAATTTTTTATCAAATAAATGCAGCCTTGGTGAGCATATAAGACATCTTTTATATATTGATCTCTGACAAGCTACATAGTAGTTTTATGTTTTTACATTAATTTTTACTGTTTTTCATAGTGTTACTTTTTGGGCAAATTGCTTGGAACCCAGTGTCATTTAATCTGACCCACAACAACAACAACAAAAAACTAATTATTTTTTTCTTTCTTTCTTTCTTTCTTTTTTTTTTTAATCCAACAGGAGAGTTAACATTATAATTAAGGCTTTGTATGCCATTTTTTATGAGTTCTTAAGAACCCGTGGTTATCTTGCGTTACATAAGACAAAAGGACAGCGAAATACCACATCTCTCATTCAAAGACACTGAGCAGTGACATAGGAACATCATACACCAAAAAATGAGTGGTTCCCAACCACGTTCATGGAGGCCCCCCCAACACTGCATATTTTGTATCCCTGCATCTCAATTCACCTACATATACTAAGCCCTAAAATTATGCACTCTTTTTCTGAAGAAAAAGTACATACCTTTGAGTGTGTAGCAAAAGAGTAGGCAAGCTTTGGGACATACTATCCCGTCATAAAACTTAAAACTTCGTCTTTTACGGACGCTCTCTGACGCGTCCTGACACCATAAACTGACCTGTCAATCATTTTGTCACAGTTATTATCCTCCACATTTCATTACTTTTCAAAAGAAAAAGTGGGTCTTTCATGTGGAGACTCTCTTCATATTAATGGATAATGATGCATTTAAAAGTTCACATAGTTATTGCAGATTAAATACAACATGGATAACACTAAATATATATTTTTTATCAGGTTAAACTTAGATTATTAGTCACTCATCCTCAGTTGCGATAATCTGCCATGTTTTATAGTTTTTTAACGGTTTTTACTCGTGTTTGTAGTTCTGAACAAATCCTCGTCCAAGTGCAGTGGGCTGTGGGCTATATTAGCCTTTATAGTGTGCATGAATGCACACTTTGAAAACCTGCCGGAAATAGTAGATCATCAACATACTATGTTTTGGGACACACTTATTTTAATCTCACATACTATTTAGGATGGATAGTATGAACATTGAGACGCAGGGTATGTCGCCTTTGTCTGACACACCCATTTCAGGTCTCCATTTTTTATGAGTTCTTAAGAACCCGTGGTTATCTTGCGTTACATAAGACAAAAGGACAGCGAAATACCACATCTCTCATTCAAAGACACTGAGCAGTGACATAGGAACATCATACACCAAAAAATGAGTGGTTCCCAACCACGTTCATGGAGGCCCCCCCAACACTGCATATTTTGTATCCCTGCATCTCAATTCACCTACATATACTAAGCCCTAAAATTATGCACTCTTTTTCTGAAGAAAAAGTACATACCTTTGAGTGTGTAGCAAAAGAGTAGGCAAGCTTTGGGACATACTATCCCGTCATAAAACTTAAAACTTCGTCTTTTACGGACGCTCTCTGACGCGTCCTGACACCATAAACTGACCTGTCAATCATTTTGTCACAGTTATTATCCTCCACATTTCATTACTTTTCAAAAGAAAAAGTGGGTCTTTCATGTGGAGACTCTCTTCATATTAATGGATAATGATGCATTTAAAAGTTCACATAGTTATTGCAGATTAAATACAACATGGATAACACTAAATATATATTTTTTATCAGGTTAAACTTAGATTATTAGTCACTCATCCTCAGTTGCGATAATCTGCCATGTTTTATAGTTTTTTAACGGTTTTTACTCGTGTTTGTAGTTCTGAACAAATCCTCGTCCAAGTGCAGTGGGCTGTGGGCTATATTAGCCTTTATAGTGTGCATGAATGCACACTTTGAAAACCTGCCGGAAATAGTAGATCATCAACATACTATGTTTTGGGACACACTTATTTTAATCTCACATACTATTTAGGATGGATAGTATGAACATTGAGACGCAGGGTATGTCGCCTTTGTCTGACACACCCATTTCAGGTCTTGGAGTCTCTACTAATGAGCTGATGATCTGAATCAGGTGTGTTTGGTTACGGAGACATGGAAATGTGAATGTGGTTCCGGGAATGTGGTTGGGAACCACTAAGTTATACATTTAGTCCTATAGGTGCTGAACACTAACAATCCCAAATACCCAACTGTATTCTAGAAATGAGTCAGAAAAATGCATCTATTTTTATAATCTATTTATCAGGAGTAATTGGAAATATAATTTTTATAATTAATAATTGATTAATCATTCAACCTTGCACTATGTGGATTTACTGACTGAATATGACACTGTGTGTTTTATAGTGTGGATCATGGAGGAGGGTTCAGGATTACAGCAGGACTACAAAAATGTATGTCTACACACACACACACACACACACACACACGTTTACTTAGCTTTCTAAATGGGGACATTACATAGACTTTTATTGTTTTTATATACAGATAGTTATACATTTTACAACCTCTAACCCTAGTTAAGTAGGTACACACTAGTGATGCGCGGATGGCGGTTATATCCGCGGGTCGGGTAATAAAAAATGCATTCTGATTATTCGCGGGTGGATAAGATAAATCATTAATGATGGAAATATTAACTACATTTTCTAAAATATGAACGTGTTTTAAATAGGCTACAAAAATTGAAAAAACTGTAAATTAACATATTAAAGTTATTCAACAAAACATTATTTAGTCAAGAGCAGTGAAGGATTTTCTCTGTCTTTTGTTGTTTGATTAACATTAGTGACAGACGGCACAGCTTTATTAGGCTGCTGTCACAAGACCTATTTCACAGATCCAATAGGCCTACTGATAGTCATGCGTTTTATTTCGCAACCGTTTACATTAACTTAAGACAAAACCGACAGCGCTTATGAGAAGGACGAGGACGACCATTTTGACGTAATTTTGTGTGTATTTGGCCGCTTAAAGGGTTAGTTCAGTCAAAAATGAGTGTTTTACTCACCCCCGAGGCATCCTAGGTGTAAATGACTTTCTTCTTTCAGACGAATCCAGTCGGAGTTATATTAAAAATTGTCTTTGATCTTTCAAGCTCTATCGTTGTACTCAGCGGGTGTTGCATTCCTTCGGTTCAAAAGAAGTTAAATAAAAAGCACCCTTCCACAAAAAAAAGTGTCTCACACTGCTCGGGGGGGTGAACAAAGGTCTCCTGTAGCGAATCCATGCGTTTTTGTAAGAAAAATATCCATATTCAAAACGTAATAATCACTTGAATCTAGCTTGCGCTCACTGTTGTACACGGAAGCAGTTCCGGGGGAATGACGTATGAGGTGAGGAGAGATCGAAACAAAACACCGGTCACTAATTAACGATAGAGCTTGAAAGATCAAAGACAATTTTTAATATAACTCCGACTGGATTCGTCTGAAAGAAGAAAGTCATACACCTAGGATGACTTGAGGGTGAGTAATTTATGGGCTAATTGTCATTTTTGGGTGAACTAACCCTTTAAGAGCAACAAGCTCAATTTGGTACTCGCAGCGCGCGCTTTGGATGTGACTGAACGCACAAAAAGTGCCTCTGGAGCGCACGAGTACCGAATGACTTAAAAAGACGTGAAAATAATAAATTTTTGTGGCAATGCAACAATGACCGATTAGGCAAGTGACAATTCTGTCAACTGTACCCAGTACAGTGTACCCGTGGGCGGCGGGATAGCAGGTGCTCCAGCAACCCCCTAAAAAGACCATAGCATCCCCATACAATACAACGTGACTTGCAGTTGCACATTTCGTAATGTCATAGCATTTTATTTTAAAAATGGATCGGTTCCTTGTGCCAAGCAGGCCTACCCCCGACTAGTTAACTAGACGTTTATATTAAATTGATTAATATAATAACCTACTAAACCATCTTTTAATAAGCATTTAGGCGTATTATAGCCTATATTCCATGCAAAAGTAATGATTATGAATGCGTCAGGGGAAAAGGAGACATTTTAAATATTTATTACTAAACTAGTGCTTTCTCAGTCGGTGTCGGCTGCAAACACCAGTGTTGTACCGAATTCTGCACCCCTGTCAGATTATGCATCCCCTCGTTGAAATCGCTATCTGATTGCCTAATCCCAACCCCACCCCTAATCTTAACCCCTCCCCCACACCTACTCCTTAACCGACCAATACTAGGGGATGCATAATCTGGCAGGGTGCAGAATTCGGCACTACACCGGTGTGGCTCATTGTTGTGACGCGCTCCATTCGCGGAGACTGCATGAGAGACAGAGGAAAGCACATCCAAAAATGACGGAGTACTTTAAGTTCTTTCCGCAGGAAAAAAAAAATTATTGCCCAGGCGCCCCCATGCATGTTACAGTAGCTAAGCATGATAATACTCCCACACTCCTCATAAACACTTGAAATTCGCCTATATAGCGATGTTATTATTAATATAAATAATAATAATAATAACCTGTTTGGTCATATTTACTATGAAATGCTCAGCTCCCCCTGTCATTTATCTAGCACCCCCTCAGCACCTGCGTTCAGAATTCCCCTGAGTGCACCGAAACACGAGCTAAAGTCTTGTATCGCAGCGAGCAGCAGCTCTAGATGCGCCGATGTGAAGAGAAGGTCAAAGAGAGAAGTGAATGAGACTGACTGCGGACCTGATTAAACATAATTCTATTATACAGAGAATTGCGAAATTCTTTCTGGGTTTATTTATTTTTCCAAAACGTTCCAGGCCTGGAAATTGCTGTTTTAAAATCCATGACTTTTCCAGGTTTTTCATGACCGTATGAACCCTGAATGTGACGATCGGGTGCGGTTATCTAAATCAGACACAAATACAGGTGCGGGTGGATAATTTGTTTGAAGCTGCAGATTCAGGTGACGTTTTATCTCATCCGCGCCTCACTAGTACACACACAGCTTTAGTGTTTGTGGTTTGATATATAAATGTCTGTCTTCTTGTGTTCAGATGCCTGTGATCTCACAGTGGATCCAGACACAGCACACAATCATCTCATTCTGTCTGAGGAAAACAGAAAGGTGACACATGTGAGAGAATATCAGTCATATCCTGATCATCCAGAGAGATTTGACAAGACTCTTCAAGTTCTGTGTAGAGAGAGTCTGTCTGGACGCTCTTACTGGGAGGCTGAATCGAGTGGAGATGCTGTTATATCAGTGACATATAAAGGAATCAACAGGAAAGGACGGAGTGATGATTGTGTGTTTGGACGCAATAAGAACTCCTGGAGTCTGAGACGCTCTAATGACAAATTCACTGTGTGTCACAATAACAAGTTCACCGACATACGTGTCTCTTTAGGCTCATGTAGGAGAGTAGGAGTGTACGTGGACGTGTCAGATGGGACTCTGTCCTTCTACAGTGTCTCTGACACGCACACACTCACACAGTTGCACACATTCACCTCCACATTCACTGAGTCTCTCTGTGCTGGATTTAGGGTTTATGGTTTGAACTCATCAGTGTCTCTATGTGAGATTAAAAATCCTGTGAGCAACAACAAAGATGGCACACCCAGCCCACTCTCTCTTTGAACTGTTGCCCTCTGGCTGGTGCTACAGGGCACTGACCACCTGAACAGCCAGGCACAAGATCATTTTCCCCCCACAGGCTATATTCAGCCTGAACAGTTAAAACTCTCATGACTATACAGTATCCACCATAACTATGCATTTGTAAATAACCTAAAAATAGTTTATTTGTAAATTACATGTACAGATACGCTATTTGTAAGTGTACTGTTTATCCATTAAACAATTGTTTTTCCCCTCTATATTTCTATTGCACTGTAAAAACATGAATTTAGCTGTTTGCTCAGTTTACTTTAAAAAGTAAGCTAAAGCAACACAAATCTTTAATGTCTCTTTCATTTAGTTTTATTTTATTTGTTAAATTAAATTATACTTGTGAAATGTTAAGCTAACTTAATCCATTTGTGTTGGGACTACATGAAGCATTTTTGTTGCATTGACTGAAACTGGGCAGTGGCATTCTAGTTCCCAGCATGCTTTGCATAGGGATGTATCAGGAGCATAAATGTTGAAATTAAGTGCTATTTAATGTGTTTTTTGAAAAGACCTGTTATTTGTGTAATATTCAGTTATGTTAGATCTATCCTGAGTTTGAGTCTAGGGGCCTCATTTATAAAATGTTGCGCAGAAACCATCCTAAATTTGATCTTGCGATCGTCTCTCAAATATGCATACGTGTGATTCATAGAATGAACGTATGCACAGAAAACACACGTACACCTCTCAGATGTGAAATCTATGAATCGTAAATTATCTTGAACTTGTGCGCAACTGAATGGTTTCAGCTCTCTGCCTTGTAAACGACTCCTAATTAATGTCATTAACATGTAAAAGATCACCAGTCATCATCCAAATGCTTTAATTCAGAACAGCGAGCTGCAAGAACAGCTTACATTTCCAGAAACCTGCAGTACTCCAACAAGAAAAAGTGAGTACGTCTGCTCAGACCCTGACGTGACGCTAAACACTTTTCCACGTCAAAGACAGTTTTTACAAATATGAGTGCTGGCGTGGATTTAAGCTCACGCAAACACTAAGATCAAATCTGAACGTATGCACGCTTTCTAAATGAGGCCCCAGGGCTCGTGGACCTTTCCTGATCCTGTCCCCATCTCTCTCTAGCTCTCTCTCCCACTTGCTGCCTGTCAATTCTCCACTGTCCTATATGATAAAAATGCATAAACATCAAAAAAAGTAAAAAATAATAATAATAATAACATTCCAACTAATTGCGGGTGGGTCGCAGGCGGATGAGAAATAAATTATGTGCTTATTTTAATAAAGACATGGAATATTAACATGTTTCAAGCATTTTGTCAAGCAGTAATTTACAGACACAATTGCAGGATTCACTTGCTAAACAGGAGGTTAAACAGATCCAAGACAAATCAGAGAAAATCGTATGTGCGGGTGGTTGGTGGAAATATGACAATTTTTTTAAAGCGAATTCAGATGACATTTGAGCTGATTCATGCATCTGTAGTCTGCACTATGTCTGTACATTGTTCTGCACTGACATGGAAAACAGAACATGCTGAGGAACAATACTATCAAGACATGGGTTGAACCTCTTATCACAAAGAAGACGAGCTTCGTTAAACCCTATATAATGTTTGACAGTGGCCAGAAGATAACTGTTCTGGATGTTTCCATCGTGATGGGATATAGAATGGACAAGCTGAAAATTAAGAGGTATGGTTCCCCAGAGAAGGCTTCTTCAATAATGACATGGGTAAGATCCATGGACCCAGTTAAGTACCTCCCGGTTATTATTTCCAGCAGCACATTGCTGTAAGGTCCATCAGGGAAAAAATAGTTAACTACTTCAAAAATTTCGGCCTGCAACTCAAGCTAAGTAAGCCTCTAAAGCAGGAAATGGAATTCTAATTTAACAGTATGGTGACATTGCAATAATCCTGTTGAGTAATTAAGAACAGCTTTTACCCCAGCACTATACGGGAGCTGAACGCTGTCAGCATACACACACACACAACTAGGGCTGCCCCTAATAGTCAACTAATCGTTAGTCGACCAGAAGAGGCTTGGTCGACCAACATTTTATTAGTCGCTTAGTCGCAGAAAAAAAAAAAAACTTCCACGGGCAGAGTCATGCAGTCCGTGACGGACAGATCGTTAACGGCTGGTCTATGGTAATACAGTATACATCGACGGGCAGGACAAATGCTCGACTATCATTCATCGACCTCAAATATGGCTTATCATCAGAAATATGTAAGTATTAGCAACTTTACACGGCCGCTCAATCTAATGTTAACCTAGAGAAATGTCTGCTATTCAAGTGTCTGTGGAGTGTGGAAACTGAACAGTAGCTCGCTGCAGGACAGATGGAGGCGCCGGTGTTGTGCCCATTTTCGACTCAGTTTCGATTATTACCCCCCTCATTGAAATCGCTTCTTGATTGCTTAATCCTAACCCCCACCCCTAATCCCAACCCCTCCCCCACACCTAACCCTAAACCTACCAATACTAGGGGGGTAATAATCTGGCGGGGGTCAGAATTTGGCACTACACCGGTGCGCTCACTTACTCTTAAAATAATCCCTCATTTTTGGTCACAGATAAGAGTAATACATCTTTCAAATCTGTAAAGACTCTACGTTTATTTGTGTGCACTCACAATAACAACAAAACGCGCTTTTGTAAAATAAGGAAAGCAAACATGATGCGCTTTCTGCCGTCTCGGTCTGTGAACTCGAGCGCGAAACTCCGTGTATATCTTTGCCTTACAGACATTAAAAAATATAGAGAGAGAGTGAAATGTCTCCTTTCAAATGAAACAATTCAAATGGAAAACAAATTCTCAGATTATGTTATCCATATGAAACATCCACTAGTACTGCGGAGTCAGTGTCACCGAGTTCATCTCTTAAAACGAAAACAAAGAAAGCACTAGTTTATCAAATTATTCAAATGTTAATGCAGTCTCCTTACTGTTTTTCCCTGACACATTCATAATCATAGCTTCTGCGGTGCACTGCGGCAAACTTTATGCGTGTACTTGAGCGCTTATTAGGCTATGTATTAGGAAAAGCTTCCGGCTTCGCTACCGTTCGGACGTTCTTGCTTTTGCACTATATTCTATGTATAATCGTTTTCTTAAATTCATTTTAAACTTCTTAAATCAATTGTTTTAATCATTTTCAATGTTTTTAAATTCCTTGTTTTATTGTTGTGATTAATTTTTTTTTTTTTCTTTTCTTTTATGTAAAGCACTTTGAATTACCATTGTGTATGAAATGTGCTATACAAATAAACTTGCCTTGCCTTGCCTTGCCTATGTATGCAATTAAAGGCTCATTATAATGCTCATTATAAATTTAAATTGTTTATTAATAAACGTGCGATTAGTTGACTAATGCTTCAAATGAACGACTACTAGTCGACCAGAAAATTCCTTAGTTGAGGGCAGCCCTACACACATAAAAAATGAGAAATGCACCAATCTGATGGGGCATCTTATATCTCAACTGACACAGGTTAACAAACCCCTCTGTATACCTCTGTGTGTGTCTATTTAGTATAAGTTTACATCTTATATTATTCATTTTGTGTTTGTGCGTATATTCTGTTGCACTTAGCTCTCTTTTATTGTGTGCAATATCATGCAGCACTTTCTGCTCACCGTGCAAAATTTGACTGTTCATTTTGCTGTTTGTTTTCTAATTAAATTAGATGTTTAGCTTGCACTAATTTATGTGTGATTGCACTGTACGGATTACTCTAATTTCGCTGCACTTTTAGTATAGTGACAATAAAAGAATCTTGCATCTTGAGGTTACCAGTTTTCATTTCACATTTGCTTCTGTTCAGATCAATGAGTCCACAAGAACTGTCATTAAAGAACAGCAGTTAGAAAGTCTTCTCATTGCTTGGCCTACAGTGTGTACTGAGAACTTCCATCATCAGCGACGAAGTGGAAAGAGAATCATTCGTCCATCTACTTTCCCATAGACTACTATCATATTGGTGCCAAAAAAAGAAGCTAGTTTACGCATTTGCATAGACTACAGGTCCTTAAATGCAAGAACTCCATTAGACTCCTTCCCTGTGCCTCGGGTGCGGGACATACTTGTCTCTTTATATGGAGCCTCAGTTTTCAGCACATTGGATCTGAAGAGCAGTTATTCACAGGTCTGTATGGAGGAAAATAGCATTTCCAAAACTGCTTTTGTTACCAAGTCTGCACAATATGAGTTCATTCATCTACCATTTGGTTGGAAATATGCTGCTGTGATCTTCCAGCGATTATAGCGATCTCACTGAAATAAATTGCAAGTGGACACCATCTTACAGGAGCTCATTGGTAGATGTTGTTTCGTCTATACAGATGATATTGTTGTGTATCCGGCATTGTATATGTTCAGGATCACTTTGGGCATTTAGGGCAGCTGTTTGCAAAGCTGGAAACTTGAAAAAAATGTAACCTGTTAAAAAAGGTCCCTTTCGTTCCTGGGTCATGTCATCTCAGAAGGAAGTGTAAAGACTGAACCCTCTAAAGCACAAAGTATATTTCGTTTTTGTATGTGTACGCTAGCGAATGCGTAGCCTTTCAAAGTAAACTCCATTTGATGTTGTGCGCGAACGTGGGCAGTCAATACATGTGCTCTTGAAAGCTTCATCCATGTCCAGAGTCTGCTCTATCTTTGCCCACAAGTTATGACCGATAACAAATATTTTTGAACTCTTTTAAACCAAATCTAGGCTCTCTCATATCCTCTCGCTCACAAGCGCTTGTCAATGCAGCTGTCTGTTGTTGTTGTTCCGTCTCTTTAGTTTCGTTCTCTACTGTGAAACAACAGCCCGGGACAGTGCTGCCACCTTGTGCAACAACTGATTACAGCAAAATAACTTCAATGTGCAACCTGCGCATAAAAATCAAATGGTGTGTGTGTGTACTATTCTGATGACAAAATTCGCATCACACGCACTGTACGCTGACCCTCGCGTACGCTTAAAAAGTGAAGTATACTTTGAGCTAAATGCTGAAGCCATCCATAACTTGCCAACTGCCAAGAATGTGAAGGAAGTCCTCTCAGAAGGAAGGATTCTTTGGCTTGGTATCACCACTTTATACCCAACTATTCTGAGCACTCAGCATCTCTTCATGCCCTTAAAGAGAAGCATGT